TATTTTGAGATAAATCTAAGATACTCCAACCCTCCTCAAGTTGGCGTGTCATATGCACCAAGTTTTTATGTAAGAACCTCCAAGGGATCTATATGTCTACTTGCAGATCATTAGAATTTACACACATGTTAGTTATTTCTCCAGACTAAATTTTCTCCCTTACAATGTGACAATAGATATCAATATGTTTTGGTTTTTCTTGGAAGAGAATAGATTTGAAGTAATTGCTAAAGCTGCTTGATTATCACATTTCAAGTTCATTAGTTGTGATTCATAGACTCTCAATTCTCTGAGAAATTGTTGAAACCATATGATTCCCATGTTGCACTTCCTATTGCTATGATACCAACTCGAATAAAATATGACACTGCAAAGTATGTTTAAACAGTATACACAAGGCTATTTATTTCAGCCAATCTTGTCAAAAAAACTGTTATGGCACCGATTCAAGAATTATGTGGCGGTTTGAAGCCTGATCTCCATTCACCATTTGTAATGGTGCCTGCTATGGCCATGGTGTCGACACGATTTATGGCAGTCATGGAAGATTATTATTATTATTTTTTCTTGCCTTTTTAAAAGGCCCATTTAAGGGTTTTTTTTGACACCCACCAAACATCACTTGCACTTTTCTCTCTTTGTCTCTCGTTAACATTCACAAAGAAACCTAGGATTTCTTTTCTTCTTTCACTGTTTAACCTCCATACTTGTGGCCAATCAAGTCTGATGACCCCTCTCCGAACACCTTCCTCTTGGTGGCCTGAACTTCGGCGAACAATGCTAATGAGATAAACAGTTTTTTTTCTTCTACCTGTTCTCCATCTGCTCTACATTCTTCTGATGTTCCTTGCCTTCTTTTCTGTTTTTTTTTGTTGTCTCTTATTCTCTGTGTGACACTGACTGTTATAGTTCTTCATCAGTTCAATTTTCAATGTTTAGTTCTGTTTTTATAATTTCAAAATGGTGTTCGCTATTCTTTTGTTGTCTGTTTCTTTATTAAACATATAATGTTATTGCCAATTCTTTTCCACATAGGACTATGTCAACACCCAAAATCAAAGTCATGCTTCCTCAGACATAGGATGGAAACATTTAATGCATTGTGATGTGAATTTATATGATGAGATTACAAGACTTTGATGAATTATGACATTGTTCTTTTGAAATTTTAGTCTATGATTCTGCTGTTTTTAATATATTCATGCTGTTTCTAATTTAAGTTTGCTATTTTTTTAATTTTTAATTTTAATTTTAATTTTTTTTATAGTTTTTGTACATTATATGTCTGCCACGCCATCTGCCATAAGTTTATGACGGATTTTCAGCTCACAACCATAGCCCAAAGGCCATTATGCATTATTGATAACCTTGGTTTTTGCATCAACATTAATTACAATAAATGCAATCAATCCTAGTCAAATCAAATAAGAACAAAAATCCAAATATTTGCTCCTAAATTAGAGAACTAATTGGAAGTATGATATATATACGATATTCAGAAGATATTTTAGCAATTATAATTTTAGCTAGCCTCCTAGATAGAACCTTGTAAACTCATTCACAAGATTGATTCCAATGATCAAGGTTTTGAATTGTTTATTCATTAGTCATGGTTGCATTGCAATTGTTGCAGTTTGCAATTATGGCTTGATGCGATTTCAGCAGCCACTACCATGGGTGGTATTATCTTGAATACTTTTTCTAATTCTCCATTCAAGAACACGTTCTTAATGTCAAGTTATTGGAGATCCTGATTGGCTGCCAAAGATAGGAGAACATGAATTGTATTCAACTTTGCCATAGGCGCAAATGGCTCTATATGGTCAGCTATTGGTTTGTGTATACCCCTTTACAAAAAGACAGGCTTTGTACCTTTCAATTGTCCCATCAGCTTTATATTTCAAAGTGAAAAGATATTTGCAACCGTGTCTCTCATCAGCTTTATATTTAAAAGTGAAAAGATATTTGCAGTCAACATGTCACTTGCCTCTCAGTAAATCCATCACCTCCCATGTTTCATTTTTTTGTTTCCCAAAACCCTCATTTCTTCCATTAATAGCACCTCTCTGCATTTAGGAACATCCAAGGCTTTGTGAATAGTCTTTGGAGTTTCTGCTCTATCAGCGTAAATATAAAAATATGAAATCTGTAGACAGAGACTTATAGGGGAAAATTTTCAAGATAGGTGGAGAGGACATGACTGATTTTTCTTTAAGAGCAGTTAGCAAATCAACATCAGGTGACTTGGACTTGCTAAAACCAGATGGGATCCTGGAGCCATCCCTAATTTCAACTTTCTTGGTGCTTCAGGTGGGGGAGATTCTCCTTGTACCTTGATTTTGACTTCCTTGAATAAACTACTATCTCCTTGTCATTCTATATATCTAGACAGTATAGTAAATATCATACGATATATGATATATATCGTATGATAAAATACAATTCACAGAGCCTGCTATTCGAATTGCAAGGTGACTTGTTTTGTGCACAAATTGCATGAGTTGCAGATCGAATTGGAGGAATCGCACAATTGTGGGCAAAGCAGAGTCACAACACCCTGCCACTCCTCCAAGGGCAGTCGCAGCACCCTGCCGCTCCCTCCAAGGGCTGTCACACCCACAGCAGTGTGTATTACAGCCAAAATTGCGGCTGGAGTTGGTCTGGCTCATGGGTGCACCTGTAGATGTGGGCACAACCCTAATCCTAAACAAACGACAGCGTATTCTGTTTTTTGAACTTCAGTAACTTGTGTTTAGTTGTAACAAAGACCCTGTTTTAACTTTTAACTTGATATCTAATTTTTGTCTATTATCAAATAAATATTACTTAATTGGTGTGATAATTGTTTATATTTTACTTACTGTTTAATATCTTTTATTATAAAGCTATCATAAATCAATAATAAATCTGTTATAGTTACAAATATTTAATTAATATATAATAAATTTTATGGCAGAATTTTTATTATAAACTTTATAATAAAATAATTCTAATATTACAGTATTTATTATAAATTTTAGTTATTGATGATGAATATATGTTTAAATGTCTGGTAATTGTATATGCTATGTTTATTATTGATCCGTGAATCAATTTTGATTTGGAAAGTAAGCTTTCAAATACACAATTTGTGTCCTGATTCAACTACCATGTTTCTACATATCCCAGAATTTGAGTTGCCTTCTGTAAAATTGCACACTTGAATACAATGGTGTGACAGGTTCAGTGTTTAGAACAGTATGTATTTGGGACAGATTCAATGTTTGGGGGGTAGGTTTAATTTATAGAATAGTCAGTATTTGGGACAGATATAGTGTTTGGGCATAGGTTCATTAAGAGATAGATCAAAGTCCAAAGACCCAGCTTCGCGCAAATTTTTGCCTTAAGGAGATAACTTTTGGAAGTATAGTCTTCAAAGAGTAACATTGAGGGTAAAAAAGTTCCTCTTTGTGGATGGATTATATCACTTGTAGCCTTGTGCCTTGAAGTAGAATAGCCAATGAAAACACATTTAAGAACTCTAGTGTCTAACTTGCTTCAATGATGGGATGAATGTGCACAATGGCAGTAAAACCAAATACTGAGAGGCAGACCAGAACTAAGGGGAGAGGTAGGGAAAAATTGCTGAAATTTTCTGAGGTGTTGTGAAAGAGAGCACTCATCTTCACTTTCTATTGATGAGGTAGGTAGATGTCAGAATTGCATCTCGCCAAAACATTTTGGGCATGTTTGCAGTGAACTTTAAGGAACAAGCAACTTCTAGGTGTTTACTTTTGCATTTGGCAGCTGTTAGATTAATATATAGTTATATTATCATATGTCATGTAAAAGTTGTTTTTAATCTTTCCTTCTGTTATAGCTGTCTGTATACACTGCTGTAGTTGCCTGTCATAGGGATTCAGACTGTAATCCTTCTTTTTAGTCTCATTGTACTTCTATTTTTTTATATACTAGGAGGAAAGAGGCACTCGGTGCCTCTAATCTTTTAAAGATAAAAAAAATAATAAAAGAGATAATAAAGTCAGTAGTTAATTAGAGAATGTGAGAAATTTGGAGAGTGAAATTTACGAAGTATAAAAGAAAGAGAATAAAAATTAAATAAAAAAAGATAATGGGAGAGAAAAAGTAGTTTGGAAGTAGTTATAAGGATAAAATAGTTCTAAAAATTGTGTGCACGAAAAAGGGATATCCCCTTTTATTATATGTATAGATGTATTAATTATATGTATAGATCTATATATATACATACAATCTGTTCTGAGTGAAGCTAGGTCACTCGAGCCTTTTATTCAAAATTCTAATCTCTAGTGCAACATCACCTTCTTTTTGGGGATTGGGGAAGAGGTTTGGTGAATATCCATTTTTTAAAGATAATCTCCCAAGGTAGCAATGAAATATTCTGTGCCATTATTAGTGTGCAGAATTTGATATGTATGAAATTGTGTTTGAATCATTGAATGAAAATTAATAAACAGATAATGGACATCTATTGTATATTTAAATAGATTAGGTATGGTCTTCAATAAATGTGAAAAACCTCTGAGTATGATTAATTAAAAGTACAAGAAAGACCATGTAAATTGCTTTTTGAAGAAAATAACAAAAATTCTCTTTAAGAATGCTAAATAGAAAAGTAATAATATTTTTGTAGCTTTTGTTAATCTTTGTTTGAATATCTAGAAAATAACTTATCTTTTGTGCATTATAGAATATCTTTGGAATATATTGTGGAGCAATCATTTTTCTAATTGTGGAAGCAATCTTAGACATTGTTTCTACTTTTGTTATGTTTCCTTGTTCTAATTGAATTAAATTCTATTAATTTCGACAAAAGTTTGTTTCCAAGTGGTAATGTTATCCTCCAGAAATGTAGCATTTTGCTAAATTTGTTCAAGCTACTTCATAATTTCAGTTGTGTTATTATTTAATCAACTACTTTCTGTTAAATATTAAAACTACAGTCTTATATCACTTCAAACTTTTCTCTTAACCTAATGCAGAAATTCCTATTTGGAGGAAGGTTGATATTTGGGCCTGACGCTAGGTCACTGCTTGTCACCTTGTTGCTGATCATTGTTCCAGTTGTCCTCTTTTGTGTATTTGTAGCAAGGCATCTTCGGCATGAATTTTCTTCATATAATGCAGGATATGCTATTTTGGTGATGGCAGTTCTCTTTAATATTTATGTAAGTTCTATTTAGTTTTTCTGTTCTTTGTTATTTGATGTTTTTATACTTTTGCTTATCTGAGACTTTTTATATTGAATGCCCCTCATTCCAAATTTAGAATAGGTTATTTCTTTATACAGAACTTGCTTAGAGTACCTGTCTCATCTAAATATTCCAGTTGGATTCATTCTTATCTCCCTTTATTATGCTTCCTCTCATAAGTAGACAATTATTTATTGAGAACATCATGTATTCAAAGAAATTTTAAACGAATGTGTTAGGCTCATAGTTGTCATTTAGTGGTGTGGAGCATGGTAGTTGAATCAATATACAAACAGTGTCTTAGAAAGCCTATTTTTTGAACTGTGGTTTGAATTGTATCGTGAATTGTAAGATTCATGATCAATAATAAAACATAGCATATACAATTAACAAAGACATTAAAACATATATTCATGATCAATAACTAAAAAACATAACACTAGGAGCATGAAATGTATGTTTGGTTAAAATTTGTTATAATAGAATAGTATTAAATTTATAATAAATGTTCTTCTATTAGAATAATATTATATTAAAATTTATAATGAATATTCTGCTATTAGAATTTTTTATAATAAATATTCTGCCATTTAATTTATTATATTAATATTAATTAAATATTTGTATTTGAAAAACTATAACAGATTTTATTTACTATTTTTTATGATAAAAAGATATTTAACAGTAAGTGAAATATAAACAATGATTGCATCAATTAAATAATTTTAATTTGATAATAGACAGAAATTAAATATCAAGTTAAATGTTAAAACAGTGTTACAGCTGAACACAAGTTACTGGTGTTAAAAAAAAACACAATACACCGTAGTTGTTTGGGATAGGGTTGTGCCCACATCTACAGGCGTACCCATGACTCATGAGTGGAACTGACTCCAGCTGCAATTTTCCTAATTTTGGCTGCGAAACAACGGCCAGGTGTGACTGCTCATAGAGGAGCAGCAAGGTGCTGCGACTCCACTTTGCCCAGAATCGTGTGATTCAGTACGAAATTGTGATTCCTCCTATTCGATCTGCTGTTCATGCAATTCAGATGCAATTTGTGAACAAAAAAAGAACCTCCTTATTGCTGGCTCCATGAACTGTATTGTATTCTGTCGTATCGTGTATAGTACATTACTTACTACTCTGGTATGGAGTAGTTGACTCCAAAAGTGCTAGTGAAGGATGGCCACGATGCTAAAGTTATGGATACAAGATAACTATTTATGCCACACAAACAAATGCTCAAAACTCAAAAAAAAAAAAAAACTGAAATTAGAGACATTTTTTTTCATTAACAAAGTCATGATCTAGACACTCAATGTTGATCATTTTAAAATAATTGATATAAATATAGTTGACTGTTTACTCTATCATAAATGTCAATATTATGCAACATGCAATGATGAATCAGTAAACATGTAGCCTTTTTTATCTGTTTCTCTTTCTGTATCTTTCCCAGCTCATTTTATTCATTCTTTTGTAGTATGTTTTCACATTCCATCTTTTGTTTTCACAAGTTTTTCCTTAACAGTAGCTTACAAATCGAAGAAAATAAACATTTAATGAACAAATTTTATTGCATGATTAGAAAACAGTTTTGATATGTAATAGAGATGATACGGGGTATCTTGAAAATGTACATGTAGGGGATTTTGCAGAGAGGGAACAAATTAAACAATTAGAATAAACAGAGGAAAAATATACTGAGGTCAAGATTGAAATCAGAATTAGGTAGCGATTGGAAAACCTGCCGAGGAAGTCTTTCACACAAAAGCAGGCAGAACTGTTTTCCCACATGTAGAGAGACTCACTGGGTGATCATGCTTGAAGCCCTTGTATTATTCCATGGAAACCCTTTTCTAACTTGAGTCCAAAGTTTAAAAATCTTTCCTATGATAAGCACCACAAAGGATGTAAGGATCCATTCATATATCTTTTATGAGCCAAAACTGACTCCAGTGCCATGGTTTCTTTAAACAATTTAATAGTGATCCAGTATACAATACTACTGCTGTTGAGGGTTATAGATAAAATGAAACAAATCCTTTTTTCTAGTAGGAAATGGAATTTTCAGGATAGTAATAAACAAATCATGGATAAGTCCAAGATTTTTCCTTAAATCCAAGTGATCTTTCTGTAGGCTTTTCCTATGATCCAATGTATGATGCATCTATTGATACGGTTTCCGTTCTTTTAAATATTCAAATATTTACTAAGGTTGTAAGTTATTTCAGTGATTGCATTTTCTTTCATTTAACCATCATTCTAAGGGCTAGTTAAGATATTGATTTTCTTTACTTTTTTGATTCCCAGGCCTTGATGCTATATAATCCTAATATTTATTTATGTTTACAGGTGTTGATTCTTCTCTTTCTCACTTCTTCTCGCGATCCAGGCATTATTCCAAGGAACTTGCATCCACCAGAAGAAGAGTTCCGTTACGACTCTTCAGTTTCTGTTGATATTGGGGGACGACAAAGTCCAACCCTTCAGTTCCATCGAACAAAAGAAGTAATGGTCAATGGCCTTCCCGTGAGGGTGAAGTATTGTGACACTTGTATGCTGTATCGTCCTCCTCGTTGCTCCCATTGCTCCATTTGCAACAATTGCGTTGAACGTTTTGATCACCATTGCCCTTGGGTGGGCCAATGTATTGGGCTGGTAAGATAGTTACCATTCACCATGTTATCTATGTTTTGATAACTGCTTTGTTCATATTGACTTTCTTGGCTTGTTACATGTTTGATTTCTTGTAATTATTTGTTTATGACTTTTCCAACGTGCAGAGGAACTACCGATACTTCTTTCTGTTTGTTTCTTCGGCAACTATTCTATGTATCTATGTGTTTTCCATCTCAGCCTTTTACATCAAGGTTCTAATGGATCATAATGATGGGACAGTTTGGAAGGCAATGAAAGAATCCCCTTTCGCTGTTATATTAATGGCATATTGTTTCATCTCTTTGTGGTTTGTTGGTGGACTAACTGGCTTTCATCTGTACCTTATTGGCACAAATCAGGTCAGTTGATGTCTTTCACATTTCTGAATATGATATCTAGTTTATGTTTGTTCGTTTTATTTGTACACTAACTGGTTAGTGCAAAAATAAAAGGCATGTGGAGTTCGTCCTTGGTGAAGTTAATTTGAAACCACTATCTTACAAACATTTTAAACATCTAAATCCACCAGGCACCTTATCTATACCAATAATAAAGGAAATTATCCTATTTCGCGTACACATTATTTGGACAATTTTATCTCTATAACTACCTCAACTACTCTTCTTTTCTCACCATTTTGATTTTTATTTTTTTTTGATTTTTTCTGCTTTTCAAAACCGCTCAAAAACTATTCATACAACTACAACTACTTAAAAATTGTTCATATCCTACAACTTTTATTTTATTTTTATTACTTTGACTCACTTTTATTTTATATTTTAAAAATACATGGAGTGCCTTTATGACGCTAGTCAGTAAGAAAGCCCGTAGTTCAATTTATTTATTTTTCTTCTATGTCCATTGTGCCTGTTCATGTTTGTTGGATGCGGACAAAATGTAGTAAAACTGGAAATTAAAATTCTCAATGGTTGTTCTTGAATGTAGCCAAAAATTTAGGCAATGAAGAGAAATAAAAATTTGGGAAGATTATTTTTATTGGAAAAAATTCAAATCCTACATCGACTAGAAATAAAACAATTAAAGAAAATATAAGTGGGAGAGAGGGGAGAACTCTCACCTTACAAACTAGTTTTGTAAGGTTGAGTTTGGTCTAAACCTATTATTCTAAGAATTTTAAAATCTTAAACTCATTTTCGTCCCTTATACTTGCTTTTCCCAACAATTAGTAATGATAAATTTTCAGAAGGTTGGTGATTTTCTATTTTCTTCCATCAATCCAAACTCATTGATAGTGTAAGCCTGCCCACTGGTTGTTTTCCGTATTATACTATATCGTGAATGGTGTCTTAAAAGGCCAAATTTTATAGAAAATTATGTTCTATATTCACATTACTTATAATAATACTGATTTATTTGCTGAAACTTTGATTCTTAAGATTCCTTGTGTTTCAAGAATATCTTCATCACCTGGTTGATTATAACTTGTTTTGCAGACTACCTATGAAAACTTCCGTTACAGAGCTGATAACAGGGTCAATGTTTACAACCGGGGTTGTTTAAACAATTTCCTGGAAGTATTTTGTACAAAAGTGAAGCCCTCAAGGAACAATTTCCGAGCTTTTGTTCAAGAGGAGGTACCGAGGCCACCCCCTCCGGCTGTTTCCCGGGAACCTGAACCAGACACAGGTGGAGGAGATCCTCGTCCTAAGGTTGAAGATGATCTAGATATCGGTGAAGACCTGTTGAAAATATCCCAACGACGAAATATTGAAGAAATTGATGAGGACATTCGAAGCAGAGGGAGCAATGGACCTCCCCATAATACATCTGAGGTGGATTCAGTTTTGGGGTCAGATCGTCGGGCCCCAACAATTCGACCTGAAGCAAGGCACTCGAGTGAGGGAAGAAGTGAAAGCTGGGAAATCGCTCCGGAGGTCCTTGCCAATGCAAGTGTAACTGAAAGTAGAAGCTATGTTGTATCAAAGGAGGTGCGCCAAAAACTTGGTGGTTCTTTCTGATATTTGCACAGGCATCAGTGTAGATGATCTGGGGTTTACTTAGATATTGAAGATGAAAAAGAAAATGCTGTTTGATCAGATTATAGGAATGTGAATTGAATTGGTTGAGGCATTAAGTACAAAAACTTGTTTGATCTTTTTTTGTGGTAAGCTTAGATCATTTGGGAAGAATAGAAATGTGTGTAATTTTCGAGAGACAAAGGAATAGTGTCTTTTTTCTGTCAATTTTTTTACCTACAGTCCAATATGTGCATTGCATCTTGATGTGGCTTTATTCTTTGTGTATATAACCAGTTGTGATGCTAAAAAATTTATCTGCGTACTGTAATTTAGGGATTGTAAAAAACTGGTTTCTCAGCTAAATGCTTTTATCCATGCTATTTGGGTACAATGATGTGTTGGGATTTTGTGACTTTGTAAGGTTAGAAGATTTTTGGTTTTAAGTTGTGTGCTTCTATTAAAAAGAAAGGACTTTTATTTTTCATTCTGTATTAGATATTCTATCTACCATTTCTCTCTAGCTTCTTAGCAAATGAAACTGAAACATCAAGGATATAAAGAAAGATGAACTTTTGAACAAAATTGTATTTTTTTATTAATACTCATGAGAAATTAAATAAATTTTGAATTGAATCTTACTCGAGCCTAATTGATTTTCTTGCCATAATTTATCAACTGTGTCAATATATTGGACCTTACCTAATGCTCTCGAGAGTCTAGACAACGAAATGAAGGGACTGTTATTCCCACTGCTTTTATAATAAACTAGTGGAAAAAGGCGATCCATGCCTCTTATTAAAAAAATTTATAATTTATGAAAAAGTAATTTAATAATAGAATTAGGTAGTTATTTGAAAAGTGAGTAGTTTATAATTTATAAAAGAGTAGTTTAAGAGTATAAATAGAATTAAAATATGCAAGCGAAAAAGGTCTATTATCTTTTAATAGTTATATTTATTCTGTTTTACAAAAAATAAGTAAAGGAAAAGAGTTAACCACCCCTCTCCTCTCCTCACTTGCTTACTATAAATCTTATTTTCTCATTCCCTTTGTGTCTTTTTCTATTGCTCTTTGGTTATTGGACATTTTTGGCAAAGAAGGTAAGTTTTCTTCCAAATAAGGTTGAAGTGGAAACACATTTTTGTTGTGGCTTGATATGAGACAAAAACCTATTTTCGTTGTATATTAAGCTTGATACGCCTTTTTGTATTAGATTAAATAATTAAATTTTATATGTAATTATGTCTTGATTTTTTTTCTTTACTTATCATATTTTGTTTTTGAATTTTAGGTACATAATGTGAGGTTTGACACACGGGTCAGGTAATTCAAAGCGAGTTGAATACCACTAACTACTTCCACTAACATACACGAAGAAATGACATCAATTCTTAAGGAGATTGAATAGGTTTGAGCAAGCTTGCTCAAGCAGATGGGTTATGGGCACATGACCCACCTTATCTAAATGGTCTTTTGGACCACTCACTGTTGAGGTCTTATATAGACCATTATACTTTATGTGCGTGGTAAGGTCAACTCCACAAGGAGGTGAAAATAAGTATGAACGATTTAGACATGAATACCACGACACTGCTAGTGTCTAAAAAGTAAGACACGAGAACGCAACATGTATATTTAAGTTTTAAGATAACGACTCTTAGAAAATGGACTATATCTCTTAAAAGTTAAAACATCAAGTAATTCTTATGAAGATAAGTCTCACCATAGATAAAAAAAAAATGTTCGAGTCTTGCATATTTATGAATAAGTTGACTTTTTTAATTTTTTTTTATAATAAGAGTGTTAGATAAGTATTTAGTTACGAGCAAAATTTAGCCCATTCTCTTAGTTCATATTCATGTCAAAAAGGTGTAATTTTTTTAAAGAGATATTTGAACGAAAATAATAACATTTTTTTAATTATGACATGATATAAATGTGTCAGATGTGTGTCATTGTATGTATATCAAGTACCATGTCAGAAACATGTCAGTGCTTCATAACGACGAGTCATGAAAGTCAAATGTTATCTTTGCCTAATGACCCCATAATCATGTCATGACACTTGTTGAGGGGTCAAGGCTCACATCTCACATAGATGCAAGATATACCCGATACCAAATGGACTTAATTAATTCCTTTTGGAGCGGTTGCATAAAGTTACTTACTCTTTCCACTTTCCTATTGGGGAGACAACCAACACACTAGTCATCGTGCATACCTACGTATTACAAGTAGGTTGTGTCACAAGGTAGATTTGAGAAAATGAAACCATTACCTTGTTGGTGAGGAGCGTGCATGCAATCTAGGTGCTTGAGAGACTTATATGTTTCTATGATGACGAGTCGAAGAGCAAAGCTTGTAGACAAGTCTTATTTGCTTCATTTGGTGGATTGTATCATTTTAAGATGAAAGAGTTGACTAGGTGCTCATGACGTACTTAGTTTTTTATTTTTTTATTTTTAAACTAATCTAGGTAAATGTCATGAGTACGCTTGGAGTGCTTTTCCACTAGCATGCTTATACGTTCAACTTAGTATTGACAGCTTTCATGATATTTCATAATGCGATGAATATATAGACGACTCTACTATAGGTAGACCTACAAATCATTGATTTATTATACTTGACCTTTTGCCTATTTTGTTCTATGAAACTTAGTTTTGTTAATGGTTTTACAAACATAGTATACGAGCACTTCCCAACCATTAGACCTTAGACCTCAGGAGTTGATGGTGGTTTATCATAAAGGTCACCCTATGCTTGCACATGGAAGACAACAATCGAAGGGCATTAACATGGAGACTTCTACGAGGGTGGAACTAGAACAATTGGGTTTTATTATACATATGACAAGTGCACAACATCGTTCTTATAATAAATAGTGTTCTTTCCATAGTGATTTCTTATTTGACTTAGTAATTATCAAAAGTTGAATGAAATTGAATGTTAGGAAAAATATTGAAATATGAATTAATTGTGAAAATATAAAGATATAGGTATGCTACTGTCTTTCTATTATTCATTATTAAAAATAAGATTACATTAAATATATATAAACTATGAGGGCATAGTTCCACATTCCCAATCTAATTAGTTTGTAATCCAATAAATAGGTAGTTCAAGTCTAATATGCTCTACTCCAACATGTGTCTACTCATTATGAATATAAGTGATGTACAACCATGTACACTTATGCACAAAAACTTGTTATTACCTCTCGTCAAGTTGAGGCATGAAAGTTTTGAATGCCTAACTTGTTAAGGAAATAATTAAATTGAGGTTTGTCTAGTGCCTTTGTGCGAAATATCTGCTAGTTGTGTGTGAGTAGAAACATAAGACAACAATGTGTTGACTCTCAATGCTTCATCTCTAATAACATGACAATTTATGATGCACAAATACAATAGGAGTATCATATATGATATGTATCCGATATGGGGATATGCCAATTCTTGAAAATATAGGACACAATACGTATTAAAAAAATCAAATTAATAAATATAAAAGTAGCAATTACAAATAAATATCATTAGAAAATCAAAATTAAGAATACATTTCTTGCTTTTTAATTCTTAAACATTACTAAAAAAATGAGAAATCATTTCTTATTTTCTAGAGATAGGAATAATATCAATTTTATCCCCTTCTTGACCATTATCTGTAAATAAGACACCTTCCATTTTTGGTTCATCGAGAGATAATGATGCCGCTATGAGATTTTCAACACCATCAAAGCTACCCCATGCATCTCCAACAATGTCCCACATTTAATACAAATATTTGATAAAATTCTTATTGTGGAAGATGAATAACTAACCTTGAAATATTTGTTTTGAAAAATATGATTTTCTTCATGAAAATTCTTCATAGCTTTGTCTTATAGTTGCAATACCAATAGCGGAAAGACTATCGTGCTGATAACGTGTTATAAAAGAGAGAAAAAGTAGAGAGAAGAAACAAAAATTAAATAAAAAAAAGTTATACATCATTGAAATGTGTCTAAAAGATGCTATCAAAAGAGAATATTCAATCTCTTTTAATTTATTATTTTTTCTCACCAGAAATGAGAAATATCAATATTTCATTGACGTAATATATTTTGTCATTATTATGCAATCATGTTTTTCATATTATGATAGAATATTTGTATTTTTATGATTTTGAAATTCATTTAAATACAATTGATTTTAAAGACAAAATCAAAAAAAATTATAAAAATATTTTTATAATGGTCTAAAAGACATTGTCAAATAAAAATATTTTAATTTTTTTTCTCACCAGAAGTGAGAAAATGATGAAAAAAATGAAAATGAAATGATAAACTTTTTGTAAGATCTTTAGATGTTAACAAAGATCCATTTAGACCCCAAGAAAAGGATGAAGAAATACTTGGTCCCGAGGTACCATATCTTAGTGCTATAGGAACACTAATGTACCTTGCTAATTATACACGACCTGATATAGTATTTGCTGTTAATTTGTTAGCAAGATATAGTTCTTCACCTACACGAAGACATTTGAGTGGAGTTAAACAAATCCTTCATTATCTTAGAGGTACAATGGATATGAGGTTATTATATTCAAATATTCCCAAACACAAACGGGAAACTTGTGGTTTATCTTCTGGAAAAATAACGTCGACAGTTATATATGAAGATAACGTTGCATGTATTGCACAATTGAAAGATGAATACATAAAGGAAGATAAAACAAAGCATATTCTACCCAAAAAAAATTTTACTCATGATCTTCAAAGGAATGGTGATATAAATGTTTAACAAGTCCGTTCAAGTGACAACCTAGCAAATCTCTTTACAAAGTCACTTCCAAGAAAAGTTTTTGAACAGTTGATACACAAGATTGGATTCCTTCGTCTTAAATATTGTATGCATGAGAGGGAGAAATAAATATTTATGAATGATGTACTCTTTTTCCTTCACTAGGTTTTTATCCCACAGGGTCTTTCCTAGTAAGGTTTTAACGAGACACATTCTAAATATTGGACATCCAAGGGAGAGTGTTATGAATAATAATTAGTGGCTTAATTAGTGGATGCCAATATTCATTATCAATCATTACCATTTATATTTTCGTTATGTATTATTCCCTTTTTGTGTGTTACCACATGTACTTATAAATAGGTTAGTCCTCTCCCAAAGATAATACACCAGTCAGATTCTTTTCTC